GTTGGAGTTTCTGATAAGATGTTCCATCTGTTTCGTCGTGTTCGATTGTTGCCGGCTTATATTGTACGAAACCGGTTGGTTCCGACAAATGTCGTGATTTTGGGACATTGTCGGGAGAATTTCGAGGGTGACTTTGACGGACTTTTGAGGATTATACGTTATTCTTGAACTGAGAAAGGTAAAATTATAAAAAAATCTCTTCTTTTAGAGCTTTTAAATGCAACGATACCCATTCGATTACATCTAAACACGCGACTTTTAATTTACTATCCCGTTATTTAACCCTTAGGAACAGACCTTTGGATTTGAAATTAAACGATCGCACTATCTGTTGTCATTATTTGAAGATTTACACAATCGTCCATTATCTCGCGGTGGGTTTCTAACGCTCCGAAGGAAGCTTCGCTTCTATTTACCAATTAAACACAGGCATCGATTGTCGGAATGAAATTGAAAGTTCACCTAAGGGTTAATGATAATAGCCGTGAAAAATATCAGAGAGTGTAAGTAATCGACAGATTACGATTCCAACGTTATATATAAATTGAACGTTTTATATATATATAAACTATAAATTCTAACATTAATTTTCAAAAAATATTTTATATTCTATCTACTTATCCTAGCCAGTACAAAATTTAGTTTGAACGACCATTCCACTCTCCTAAATAGCAAAATGACGTGTATATAACTATTATATATTATACATATAATATATAATAAACATTATTTATATATATATAAAGTTAAAATTTATAGTCTATATATATTTACTACAAATTTGTTTATAGTTTACATACTTTTCGAAAAGTTATACAAAATACTTCATACTCCGGCCTCATATCTATCCTCGTCGTCAACGCGAAACCTAATTTGAACGACCACTCTCTCCCGAGTAGCAAAATCACCAAGCGAGCTGGTGAAAAAACCTCGAGCATCACCGGAACGGGCAAATTCCCGCGCAAAACGCCGTATCCGGCACTGTGTACCGATGTAAACACGAGGATCGGTAATTGCGCGGAGATGATGCAACTGAAAGAAAGAGAGAGAGAGAAAGGGAGAGAGGAGGTCCGTGCTCGCGCGGGACGAATTATTTCGAGCGTACTTACACCTTTCTCCCGTGGGACGATACGCGCGACGCTAATGAACTACAAGCGATAGGCGTTAGCGGGAGGCGATTCGCGGCCGGAATCCTGCGGTCGGCCGGCAAAAAGGTAATGACGCCAGTTTGCGGCGCCGTTCCGGCGGGAAAATTATGAATTGAACCTGCTCGTGGAAAAAAAGAAAGAAAAAGAAAAAGACAGTCGCTGTCCTGGCGGTGCTGGGCCGGATCCAGAACCGCCAGGCAAAAACAGGACGTTGCGGTCTGGCACGGAACAGGGTTCGGGGCCCCGACGTTCCAACCCGTTGAAACACGGGTTGCTTGCTGCCCCCACGCGCTCGTTGGCTCGTGAGCGGCGATGAATGACAACGACGACGGATGATCCTCGAGCGGAACACGCTTTCGGTTGCAGAGAACGGCGAACCGGCCAAGATCAAGTGCAACCTGAGGAAACACAAGCCGAACCGGAAGCCGAGGACGCCTTTCACCACGCAACAATTGCTCGCGCTCGAGAAGAAGTTCACGGAAAGGCAATACCTCAGCGTCGCGGAGAGGGCCGAGTTCTCGTCGTCGCTTCATCTCACCGAAACGCAGGTGAGATTCTTTCTGATATTCTCTCCTTGGTCAACTTTCGAGATCAAGTCGTTGACGCAACGTTCCATTTTTTTCCCCGTTCGTTTCGATCAATTCCTGTTCTCGAGTTATGTTTTCCTTTTTTTTTTTTTCTTTTCTTTAACTTCGAGGATATATTTCGGAATTTGAAGGAGTTCGAATTTATATTGTGATAAATTCTTTATCGAGTGGCATCTCAGCTCGTCAAGGAACGGCTAGTTCATGCAGCTAATTGGAAATTACACACCGTTTTCAATTTAATCGGCGTGTTCGAATTTGGAAATCAAGCTTCTTCATTTTCATATCTTCGTGGCCAGGAAAATGTCTTCGAAACTAGATTGAAAGACATCCCACTCGGTTCTCGATACTCTGAAAGATCCATTCTCTCCACTGTACTCGAAACTGCGGCTTTCTTACGAACATTTGCTCCCGACGACGACATTCTCCTCTCGTGTGGCGAACACGGTTCCACGACACAACCTGTGAGCGTTCACCCGCTGTACTCGTGACATCGTACTCGAGGCTCACACACCGTGTTAACACAGAAATCTGCTCAGCTCGCTCTTTTTTCCACCGTTGACCGGTCGACGAATCGGTCGAGGCTCTGTCTGTACGGATCGCTCGGGCCCGATGTTTGCCAGATGCGGGATAATTAGCGCGTGATATTCTCGACGCTGGCGGACAACGCTTGCGGATTTTATTAATAGATTACAAATTACTCGAAACGCACGATGACCAACCAATTATCCTAGATCGTGGCCCCGCTCTCCGCTGTCTCGAGGCGCAGTTTCGAGTCGGTCGCGTCTGTCAACGAGGCGATTCGTTAGCCGTGCAACTCGTTGTCGCGGAGACCTATTGCCTCTCGACAAATTTCCTCTATCTTTGCCGTAGACTCGTTCAACATCCACTTTAGTACGTGGTACTCGTGCTTTTGGGAACGACGCGAACAATTACATTCGCTTGTGGAAAATGCTATACTGTGTGCACGAAACAATAACTTCCTTTTATGAGAAAGAGAAAAATTACTCGAACGTCATCGTCGAGTTGCAGATTACTAATAATAACATAATATCGGAAGTAACATCGATTGAATTATTAAAACTATCAATTAATTTTCCAATAAAACTTGTGAAATTTGTCTCACCTGAATCTTAATTAGCTTTTTCATTTTCAACTCGTCAGATTTTTTAATTCTTTTGATTAAGAGTAACAAAGTCTTTTCTTTAACTCTCGAATCCTATCGTTGGATGACTATATTAAGTATTAGTTAAATTACAAAAAAAAAAAAAAAAAAAAAAAAAAAAA